ATCATGCAAAGCTAAATATGTTAAAATGTACACATATATAAACCTTTTTAGATTTAGGTTTATATGGTACTAATTTTTAGATTTGGGTCTATATGGTACTAATTTATATTACTTACTGTTAAATTGCCTGTTTTAAAATATATACTTGGTAATATTTGGAGAGAAAGTTCCCATAAAGGAGAAGCTTGATTAAAGTATTCATATACTATACAGTATACAAGTATACAGTAGTATACTTGTTTATATATAACTGTTTTCAGACAAGTATGCTGAACAAGATGAAACATAAAATGAAACAAAAACAGGAAAGAGATGAAATGGTGCACCCTATAAAAAGTGCCATTAAAGCAAAACATTTATACTGTTTAAAAAGTATTTCAATCATATCAGTGGAAAATATCAAAATCATATGGCATTTTAAATTGAAGTCTTCATTGCAAAAGCAATGTAGCTCCACTTTTTAATGATTTTTAGATTTAAATTAGTTATTATATGAAAGAAGATCTATCAGCTGCTGCAAAAACAACTTCAAGTCTTCCTTATGTTATTAAATGCAGAATTTGTCTAAAAATCTTTATTCCCTTACTTTCAAAAAATTTAATTTTATCTATCAGGTGCAAAAACCAGATAGTTTCGTGAATTTTTTTTTAAAATATTGTATTTAGTATTGAGGATATAAAAACAAAATTTAAAATATATATACATTTATTTTATACCAAGTTCTTCTATCTGTGCAAAAAGTTGTGCAAGAGTTTGAAAATTTCATGTGTAAGCTTTTTATTTCCTGCTGAACAGTTTCTAAAAACAGAGTTGCATCCTTTTTGCACCGGTGTCTTCGATTGTACTCAAGTATGCATTGAGTAAGAAATATACTAATATAAATACTCTAAAGAAAACTGAAAAATTAGGAAGAACCTGCTGTACAATTAAGTTTTATGGGATAGGTGTGAAATGCTTTATTAAAATATAAAAATCATGTATTTTGAGTGATGATATTAAACTTAAAATCCAAGTCTAAGCCAATCATAACTCATTTAGTTGTTTTAGCTGAAGGAATGAGTAAACTATGGTTTGTCGAAATTGGCAAAAAGTTATGTTTAAAAAAAAAACATGTTTACAAAAAAGAGTGTATTTAATTTCATTAAATACTCTCATTTGTATATAAGTCAACATGTTTACAAAAAATAAAAGTTAACATGTTTACAAAAAAGAGTGTATTTAATTTCAAAATTGTGTGTTGGCATTTGTGTGTTGGCAAAAAAATATCAAGCATTATTAAATTACAGGGTTATTCATTCTTATATGCGTGTCTATTCATTTTTATATGCGCCTTTATTCATTCTTATATGCGCATTTATTCATTTTTATATGCGCCTTTATTCATTCTTATATGCGCATTTATTCATTTTTATATGCGCCTTTTTTCATTCTTATATGCGCATTTATTCATTCTTATATGCGCATTTATTCATTTTTATATGCGCCTTTATTCATTCTTATATGCGTTTTACAAAAGCAATTGTAAAAAAGCAATTTGAACAAAAAAAAAAATCATTAAGTAATTTGTTTTGAAAAAATAGTTTATTTTTTCAATTTTTTCTTATTTCCAGGTAAATTTTTCTTATTTCCAGGTAAACGAGGTTAAAAATACTTAAAACGAAGACTTTCTACATTCGACGATGGTTTATTTAATTTTGTATTAGTTCTTTGTTTTCGATGATAGTTAATTTAATTTAGTATTAGTTCTTTGTAATTTTATTATTAAATTTCTTGATTGATTAAGTTATTGTTTATCTAATTATTCATTTATCTAGATTTAAATTTACTTATTTATAATAATTATTATTATCAAATTATACATCCCTATGGACGGAATAGAAAATAGCAGTACCAATTGTAAAACAAGGAAAAATGTTACAAAAGAGCACATTAAAATGCTTAAGCATTTAATTGAAAGAAATCAATCTACAACAAGCATTTCCACTTCTTTTAATTTATTGAAGCGCGCAGTTCAAAATTTTGTCGTTAAGTTAAACAGAGGATAGTTCGACGACATGACTGCATTCAAGTCGTTTTCTGATAATAAAACGAGGTAAAAGACCTATAAACTCTCAAATAAAAAATATTATAGAGTTATGCGTACAAGAAAACAATCTTTGCACGCAAGAAGCAATAAAAAATATCATTCTGCAGCAGGCTTCATCATGTCTCAGTCTATTATTTCAAGAAAACTCAAACGCTCAGATTTATCAAGAAAACGTGTTGTGCATGTGCCGAAAAACGAAGCTCAACACCAGTTATTAATGCACGCTATGCATTTGCAAGCGAAATAAGCGGAACTTCAGGTGAAAAACTTATTTATTTGGATAAAACTGAATTTAATGTGCACGCTAACAGCACATATGGTTCTTTGCTAAGAGGTACGCCAGCAATTTTACAGTCACCTGCAAATCGTGGTAAGAATGTTAGTTTAATTTGTGCTGTTTCAACAACGGAAGTGCTTGCTTATGAAATAAAAACTGGAGGCTGGAATGTAGATTCATTTTGTACTTTCATAACTACAATGATGGCACCAGCGATTAGGAATGCAAAAGTTGAGGCCCCGGTGCTTGTTATGGACAATTGTATATTCTACTGGAGTCTTTCTATTAGGCAAACACTAGCCTCTCATGGTATAGCTATTAAGTATTATATTACATGGTATAGCTATTAAGTATTACAGCTATTAAGTATTGATATTAATAATAATTATAAATAATTAAATTTAAATCTAGATAAATGAATAATTAGATAAATAATAACTTAATCAATCAAGCAAATTAATAATAAAATTACAAAGAACTAATACTAAATTAAATAAACTATTATCGAAAACAAAGAACTAATACTAAATTAAATAAACCATCGTCGAATGTAAAAAGTCTTCGTTTTAAGTATCTTTAACCTCGTTTACCTAGAAATAAGAAAAATTTATTTTGAAAAAATAAACTGTTTTTTCAAAACAAATTGCTTAAATGATTTTTTTTAGTTTAAATTGCTTTTTTACAATTGCTTTTGTAATACGCATATAAGAAGGAATAAAGACGCATATAAGAATGAATAAATGCGCATATAAGAATGAATAAAGGCGCATATAAAAATGAATAAATGCGCATATAAGAATGAATAAAGGCGCATATAAAAATGAATAAATGCGCATATAAGAATGAATAAAGGCGCATATAAAAATGAATAAATGCGCATATAAGAATGAATAAAGGCGCATATAAAAATGAATAAATGCGCATATAAGAATGAATAAAGGCGCATATAAAAATGAATAAATGCGCATATAAGAATGAATAAAGGCGCATATAAAAATGAATAGACGCGCATATAAGAATGAATAACCCTGTAAAACTGTATTTTATTGAGTATATAAAACTTGCAGGGTTAGTTACTAAATATAACTTATTCTGGGCCGCTTTTTTTTTATTTTTTTTTATTTTAGGTACCTACATTTCATTTGGCGCTCCTTGGATATCTGCCGCCCGTTAAGTTTTTTACATTTGTTAGTAATAATTCCAGTTTACTGAAAAATGAAACAATCAAAAATAAAACAATCAAAAATGATTCATTTAAAATAATATGTTTCTATTTAAACGTTAAATATAGAAACTTTTTTATTCCTACATATCAGTTGATATGTAGGAATCCACTTTCTTTACTTAACCCACGATCTACATACCTCAAATACCGTCCCAAAAATTTTTTTTTGTAATTTTCTTAACTGATTTTCAAGACATTGATCAACTCACTAAGATAATGCAGTTAGTTGGTAAACCTACAGACGATTTTTTAGCTAAAATATCAAGCGCTAATGTATGTGTTTTTAGTTTTAAATTTATATTAATGTTATTTTTTCGAATAAATTTTATGTTAACGTTTTTTTAACGTTACTTTTGAACTGAATCATCAGATCACCTGTTAACTTAGGAGCCACCTAATCACCTGTTCATTACAACTGCTATTGATTCGATTGATTCATCTGTTTTTTTACAGTTGCTGTTGATTCGGTTGATTTAGGAGTTCGTTTTGTTTAAATGTTTTATGAATAAAGTCTGCCATTTTTGAAAGCCCATTGTAATCATATATACTGTTAATAATATAAGGTTACTGGCCGGATACTTTAAAAACGCAGGATACTCCTAGGTATAACGTGCTTCTTGATATGTAACACATCTTAAATCGTGCTCCTAGATATAACTCGTTATAATATGTAAATTATTGTAATTATTTCCTGTTGTTGATTTTCAGGCTGGGCCGTCCCGAGGAGATCTTAAAAGAGAGAGGGGGTTGACGTATCTGTTTTTTGTCGAATTAGACCTAAAAAAAATTTTTTTGCTGATAAATCTATTAATAACTACAATGACTCCAAAGCCCAAATTTGCCGACTAATTAATTTATTAGGGAAGCTAGATACCCCTACGCCCTTCCCCTCCCCCTCGGGATAGCCTTGCTTTCAGAATTGGAAAAAACTATATATTCTTAAAGCATTGTTGTATATAAATGCTTAGCTTTTTAATGTTTAATTGTGAATTATTGAAGTGTATATTGTGGAACTAGGGCTATTGTGGCTTTGCAATTGTTTTGTTGTTAATTTATTTTATTTGCATTTTATTTAGGCTCGCTCATACATTAATTCAATGCCAAATTACGTGCGGCAGGATTTCGACAAAGTGTTTCCAACGGCGACAGCGCAAGGTTTTTTTGCATTTGTTGGACTTATGTATCGATTTATTTTATTACAAAGACTTTGTTAACAAATTAATTTATATTATAATTAATAAATAAAAAGAGTTTTTTAATATTTTTTATTTTATAAAAGTAATCATAAACTCCTAAATACCTTTAGCTAAAAATATTTTGCACCATATGCTTTTGCTTGATCCAGAAAAACGATTTTCTGCGGAACAGTGTTTACAGCACCCATATTTTAGCGTCTATCACGACCCTGACGACGAACCAACTGCTCCTTTATTTGAAGAGGGAGCTGAGCTTAATGAATGTAGCATTGATACCATAAAAGGTAAAATTGAACCTTTAAATTGAATTGCTTGAGTTTTTAAAATTTAATGTATCTTTTTTTTTATATATATTAATTTATTTTTTCCATTTAGCATATATTAATATATATTAATTTATTTTTTCCATTTAGCACTGATGTTAAATGAGATAAAAAATTTTGTATACAAGCCTCCCCCGGAAGAGGTTATGGAGTAAATGTTCATATATCAGGTTACGATGTGTCATCTTTGTCAATATATCAGTATAACGTATCAATAATTTGACAGTGTTCTTATTGCATTAACCTGCATAAGTATGTGTGTGTTTTTCTGTGTATATATATGTGCATATATGAATATATATATATATATATATATATATATATATATATATATATATATATATATATATATATATATATATATATATATATATATATATATATATATATATATATATATATATATATATATAAAGATAAAAATAATCAAAATAAATTTAAATAAAATCACACAGAACAACAATATTGGATAAAGCCTTTAAGTTACTTTTATTAACACCTTTCTCTACAAAAAAAAAAAAAAAAAAAAACTACAAAATTAATGTGCATTTATATTTATAGTTTTGCTTTAATCGTTAAAAATGTTTAAACGTATAAAATTTTAATCTTTCATTAACATAATTTTTTTAATCATGAATTTTTTGGCCTTTTTTCATTGGTAAAGCTATGATTTTTATTAGTTTCTGTTTGGTCTGTGTTTTGTACTCAGTCATAAATTTTTATTCCATCTGTATTTTGTATTTATAAATTTTTAAATAATTTTGGGCTTTGGTCTGTTTTTTACTCTAGAATACCATAGAATAGAATACCATAAAATTTGCAACAAATGCTGTTCTTTTATTTTTATAAGGATTTTGGTTTTTAAAGAAAAAATGGACTTCGTAACTTAGCCTGTTATTTTTAATTTTTTTTTCTTCTGTATAATGTATAAATATTTGTATAGTTAGCAGTGATTTTTCATTAAATATTTTTAATTTAAATTAATCTATTCAGTGTTTTGATATTTAATAGTTTAAAGTCTAATATACTTGTATGTTTTTTTCATTTTTACTCGCTTTTTTGCCCAACTTTACAATTTTAACTGCTTTTAAAAAAATAGTAAAAGATTTTGCTCCATCATTTTTTGTCTTTCGGATAGGCACCAAGGTTGGAAGAGGAGTAATTGATTTCTTAACGAATTGTTACAAGAGGAAAGGGAAGATTAATAGCTTGCGAATCCTAAATATATAGAGGAGAAAATGATTCTTGATACAAAATTAATGATTATTTTTCGTCTTTTCGTCAAAATTAAAATTAATTTTCGTCTATTTCTTTCCTTTTAAGTTACTCATATTAATTTTAAACCGAAACAAAAAATTTTTAGTGAGTGTAGCCAATCGTGTAAATAATACTTTAGGATTTTTTAATATAGGCGAAGTGGTGATGGATCTATTTTGGCTTTGAACTAATATACTCCTAGAACGTACATGGTGAAAAAATATTTAAAAAAATTCATACTCTCACTCATTAATTTGGTGGTTTTAAAAAAAAAAAAATGAACTAAACCATCACATCCTTATTACAAAGGATAAGAAATTGATAATTTGGTGTAATGTTTTGTCTAGCCGTCTGGTATGTTTCAATTTAAGGTGTTTTATATACGACTTACATGTTTGTAAACCATATTTTATACACCATACCAATAGTTTTATTAAATTTTGATTGTATATATTACATATGAATCAATAATATTCTGAAAAAATATTTTCATGAATGTTTACAAATAATTATTCTACTAATTTTAACTAGACACAAAAAATACAGAACTTATGTTTTTTTTTCTACATTTGATACATAAATATAAAAATACCAACCATGTTAGTATTATTACCAACCATGTTAGTAATATTACTCATTCTACAAAGAAAGACAGTATAAAAATAAAGTAAATAATTTACTACATTCAATCAATCATATATATTCTGAAAATAAATTTTCAAGGCTATTTACAAATAGTATTGAAATACTAATCTCAAGTAAATACCTAAAAAAAAATAATTTATATATATATAATTTATCTTAGTAATAATAATATTAATAATAGTAATAATAGCAATAATAATAAAGTAATTATAATAATTTAAATAAATCGGTATTACTTTCCATACAGCAATCATTTTTACATACAAAGTTACAGTTACAAACAGTAATAAACTGACTAAACGTAACAACTAACGATGACATAAAAACGACTACTGCTAAAAAAATTATAAAGACTTAGTAAATTATAAAGACTTATTAATATAATCATAGTAGTTAAAATATAATAATCAAAATATATTGCAAGTATTATGACCAAATAAATAAATAAAATATAACAGAAAAACACTGAGAAAATCAAAACAAAACAA